CAACACACACACACACACACACACACACACACACACACATACATACATACATACATACATACATACATATATGTATACACGCACGCGCACACACACAAACCCCATGATTGTAGTTGAATCTCCTACCCTTACCTTATCGCAAACCTGAACCTAGTCTTAATCCTGAATAAAGGTACTCTACAATGACTTCTGTGTTTATCCCCATGGTAACAAAAATCTCCATGGATACAAAAGGGCACAGGCTGTTAACCTTGCTGCCATCTGGCAAGTGATAAAAAAAGTATCTCCAGCCGTGCAGCCTAACCTCAGAGCATGAAGAAACGGAATCTCCAGTTTTACATCATGACTGAAATGAATGTTGAGTCTTTATTCCTGAATGGGTCAGTTTATCCAAGCATGATAAAACATGGACATGTTTTTTTTAATAGTGTTTTAGTGCAAATGCAGCGCTACACACCAAAGAAGGCTTCCACCCGAACGTGAAGGCTGCATGCCAGGTCCAGAAAGCAGACACAGTGAGGTAAGGTCACATAAGGATTAATAAACACTCTCAGCCTCCCATCATGCTACTACACACATCTCTACACTGTGGGTTTAAATTATATTAATGAGTTTCTGATTAATTTGGTCTTCTAAATCACATTAGACTGACTGTGTCAGCTGACGCTCCTGCCACATCTGACCACTTTCTGTTGGTGGTGTTTTTAAAGAAAAGGCTAATGGCATTTATTTTTACAAACCACTTTTTTTTAAAAAGGCCAAAACCATTGACTTTCCTTTGATGTTTACTCCTCGTAAAGAAGTAAATCTGAACAAACTAGTCTCACGTAAATACAGTAAGGTTTATGTAGGATAGGTACATTTTAGCCTCTCTTTACCATCCCAGTGTGTGAAGGGGGGGGGGGGCATGCATAAAAATAGCTGTAATTCCTGCATTACTGAGGCAGTGATGCAGAACTCCTTAAATTAAGTCTTCACTTCACTTTACTAAATTCCCAGTGCTTCCAACATATCAAGTATTTATGTAATTAAATGTTTGAGTGATTTCTCCATGCTGTGGAATACCCTGCTGTGTATTTTCATGATTTTGAGTGAATGCTGACAGTTGTGGATTTCTGTTCTCAGCTTTAATGTTGCTAAGGTCATCGTCGTGGGTGATGTTGCAGTTGGCAAAACGTGTCTGATCAGCAGGTAAGAAGCTTTTATATAGCTACAGCTCTATATGTTATATAGCTTGATATATAGAGACATGATGAACATGACCTCCTGAAATTAAAACTGAATGTCACAATGGGGGAAGAAATGTGATTTAAGTGAACATGAATAGTTTTTGGTGTCAGACTGGCTGTTCTGAGTATTTCAGAAAATGCTGATCTTCAGTTTACAGAGAATGGTCAGAAAAAGATAGAATATCCAGTGAGCAGTAATTCTCTGTGGAAGAAACACCTTGCTGATTTCAGAGTTTAAAGGAGAACGGCCAGACCGCTGTTAGAAAGACAAAAAAAGTCAAGCATCCACTGGTATGCAGAAGACCATCACTGAGTGCACAGCATGTTGAACCTTAAAGCAGATGAGCTGCAGCAGCAGAAGACCACACCAGGTGTCACTCCTGTCATCCAAGCAGGAGACTGAGATTACAATTCACAGAACCTGAAAAAATGTTTCCTGGTTTGATGATTCTCAATTTGTGCTGAAACATTCAGAGGTAGGGTCAGAATTTAGGGTAAACAGCATGACAACATTGATCCCACCTGCTTTGTGTCACTGGTGTAATGGTGTGGGGCGTGAATTTACCTAACACTTTTTGTTCACCTAAATTACACCTAAAGCATAACATACTAAGGCAGAAACTTTCAATCACACATAAAGACAATGAGCATGTGCACAGAGCTGAGGCTCATTTGTTTTTCTCATCCTCATTACTAGGGATGGGTATCGTTTAGGTTTTATCCGATACCAGTACCAAACCGGTACTTTTGAAACGGTGCCGGTGCTTAAACGGTGCTCGAACCGGTGCTTAAAGAATCAAGAACACAAACTTTGTCCAAAAACCTCTCATGTTCAGCTGTTTTTTTGTAAAAAGATAACAATGTTAGCCTTTTCTGCAGCTATAGGGCATATATGGTATCACTCTTGGCTGGAAGCAGTGCTTAAACAATGGAAAAAACACAAACTTTGTCCAAAAACCTCTCATGTTTACTGTTTTCCACTTTTTCTTTGGTCATTTTAGCCTTTTTGGCCAGGGTGAAGGGAGTATCTGCCATCAAACAAGAAGACAGCCGCATGTAGCTATGATGATGTTTGCTAGTTCACCTTACCTGCATTAATGTAATAACGTGGTTAGCCTACTCAACGTAAATTACACACGAACAACATTAAGCTACTCACGCAGAGAAGAACGGCTGCTGCTGCATCATCATCCGTCATCATTTCTGCTACACTGGCAGGGCTAGGGGCCAGGACTCTCCTCTTCGGGTTTTTGGGGGATGTTGCTAACTCCGGGTCTGATAACAGGCACCACACCCGCAGTAGATGTGCTCGGTGTGAGGTCTCGCAGCAAGCTATCAAATACGGCGCATTTCTGGCTTTTAAAAAAACGCTATGCGTCGCCAGGTGTTTCATCAGATTCGAGGTGTTTCCTCCTTTTCACAGTATCACCTTAAAGCACTTGTTGCCGGCTGCTGAGTTTGCATATTTTGCTGTGAAGTACAGCCAGACTTTGACCGCTTCGCTTTGGGCATTTTTAATCTGTAGCTCTGCTCTAAAAGAACGTACGTACCTGGGCCCGCCTACTACGCTCGCAAAGGTAAAATGATTGGCTAGAATCCAAAGTGTATGACATCTCAGGGAAAAAAAAGCACCGAAATGTGCGCTGCTTTTCGGTCTGGTTACTACCGTTTATGTCAGAACCGGTACCCATCCCTACTCATTACAGGTTAATAGTTTCAGCAGAAACCATGCCACTCAGGATGAAGGCTTTTATGATACCACAAATGTCATTTACATTTAATTACTAATGAATATTTGGAATATTTTGTATTTCAGTAGTAGGATGGAATCAGTTTACTGTATTGTTTGGTAAAAATGCTTAAGAAATGAAGCATTTTATTCAACAAATGTTAAAAAGATTTTCATTTTACCTTTCTTAGTCTGCCACCTGTCCCCTGTTGCTCTCAGGTTCTGTAAGGGTGCGTTTGAGAAGAACTACAAAGCGACTATAGGGGTGGATTTTGAGATGGAGCGCTTTGAGGTGCTTGGTGTTCCCTTCAGTTTACAGCTGTAAGTGTACTTCTTAACCAGAGAGAAACAGCCAGTTCGTAGACTGAGCCCTAGGGTCATATGAGTAATCTCCACGAAGAAGTTCAAATATGAGCAGTCTGTGTGTAATGAGATCACATAAATAGATAATTGTGGGGCTGTGCAGCATCCGCCTGATAATTTCACGATCTGGTTGTTCAGGCTGCTCAGTGCGACTTAAATGACATGCCTTGAATTCACTATGTCACCTTCAGATGTGCGTGTACCTGCTGTGAGTGCACATGTAGAATCAGTGTAATATTAAGGTAATCATTTTGGCATCTAGTCAACATTAGGACTCTAGTTCACTTTTAATCCCACTGTTTCTTTCACATTCACCAAATATTCCAAAGACGACCATTAAAGCTCTCGTGTGATCTGTTTTAGGTGGGATACAGCAGGTCAGGAGCGCTTCAAGTGTATCGCTTCCACCTATTACAGAGGAGCACAAGGTGAATGAAGATTCAAAATATAAATTTTTGTCTTTTAACTAAAGCTGGTGAAAGATTCGTGTTCTCGTTCTGACCCATATCAAACTGTCTGCATTTCTCCAGCCATTATTGTCGTGTTTGACTTAAGCAGTGTGGGCTCACTGGCTCATGCCAGGTAAGGCGTTTCCATTACAATGTCATTGTCAGATATTTTCTCTAAAAAGCCGATAAAATGTATGTGCGTGTATATGTGTGTGCATCCAGGCAGTGGCTGGAAGATGCTATGAAGGAAAATGACCCGTCCAGTGTCTTATTGTTCCTTGTCGGTACCAAGAAGGACCTCAGTGTGGGTGAATTTTATGAAAAAATTGTGAAACACTGAGATTTGACCTGACATTTTTAATGTAATAGTTGATTAATAAGTTGAAAATGTGAGGTGAGATTGTTACTGATTCAAAGCCTTTCATTCAAAATGAAATGCTTTGAATGATAGGCATTTTTTAGTTAATAATAAAAACTCTTGTCGTCATACATGACAGACTTTAACAGTAATAAAAATAGTTCTGCTTTCAATTTTAGTCTTCTGTAAAATGCCAGATATTGGGGAGTTTCGTTCTGATCAGTCAGATTGTTGATAATGGGTTGACTGGTTGCTGAAGTTGCCCTGCAGTGACTCATCACTCTCGCTCTGTCTGTGTTTTGCTCTTCAGTCTCCTGACCTGTTGGCTCAGATTGAGCAGGAAGCCATGAGGCTCTCTGAGGAAATCAAAGCAGAGTACTGGGCCGTGTCTGCAAAGTCAGGTGGGAGATAAACAGTCGGTCATCAAGCCTGAATGCTTTTCATTTTCATGTTTTGTTCTCTCAGTAAACTCTGTGACTTTGTTTTTGTCCAGGAGATGGTGTGAAGGACTTCTTCTTCCGTGTGGCTTCTTTGACTTTTGAGGCCAATGTTTTATCTGAGCTGGAGCGGAGCGGGTCGAGGCATGTTGGTGACATAATCAGTGAGTCCACATTATTCAGTGGTTGTTATCTGTTTCTGGTTGTTAGCACAAAAATGAAAGGTGCTGTGCTTTATCTGTTTATGTTTTTTGTGAGTAGGCAAAAACACATTTAAAAAAAAATCTTTTTTGCTTAGACACGCGGAGTGTTTTCTAATCTTACCTCCATTGATTGTCACTGGAGTGGCTTTCGACCAACTCAGTCCACAGTGGGTCAAAGCCAGACCTTCTCCAGTGAGGTCTGGAGACTCTGTAAGTGCCCCTGTAGCACAGTGATCCACCAAATAAATTGCTATTAATCAAACAAATGTGGTATGCCACTGAAAATTGTTAATACGTATAAAAATGATCTTGGCAGCATTAAAACAAGCCCACCTTTACCCCCTCTCATTAAAAAAGAGAATGATTGTGACATAGTAATCTGGGATCCTCTGTCATGAAATCACTCTCTTCCTTTCTGTGTGCAGAGATTATTGCTTTTTTTATTATCCAGCTCGCTGCCGGAGGAGCTTCGGGAATGTTTTGAGCAATGTTCCCTCTAAGCTGCGCACCTGGGCAATTGCGCACTGCTGGCACGATCTCTGCGCAGAAAAAATCTGCGTTGCGCACAAAAATAAAATCTAACCTGAATTGAAATTAAAGTAAATATGTTAACAATTCTGCTTTGCAGTGTTAGTCAGTAAGTGACTGGCTGCTCCAGTATGGGATTAGAACGATGCCACCCAATTGATGGAAAAACTGTGGACTTTATACCAGTTTTTCAATTGTGTTGATAGGCCACGTAAAACCAGAGTAATGATAAAAATAAATGCAATGTTTGGTTTTCTTCCTGAATACTATCGTTGTTTATATTTACTGCAGGAAGAAACGGCTAAATTGGCGTTTTATAAGAAAAAAGGCTCGAAAGCCTGTGAGCAAAAACAAAAACACCCCCACCCTTTCCCATTGGTCGAAAAATGTACCATGTCGACCAAACAAAACATGGCATTTGTTGTTTAGGGAGGGGGAAAGTTTTAGGAGTGACGGTGGTGTTTTGAGATGTGAGAGATTTGCAACGTTTAGCGTAAATCTTGTGTAGTTAGTGTGTAGTGTAGTTTTGTTGTGTGTGTCAGAACAATGAGGCGACTGCTGAGTGTTACAGGTGTTACAGGAGTGATACATCTCCTGTTGTCAGGCCTGCAGGTATCAGGCTGTTGTTCTCCTTTATCTCATAGTGGACAGAAATTAGTTTTTGGAGTGGCACAAATAATTTGTGTGGCATCAGATTCGATGCAGAAAACCTGATTGTTCTGTAAATAGTTTGAAATGTTTATTTTAAAAAAACGCCTTGGCTGCATTTTTAGGTAAACAGCTGCAAAAAACGTTGTTGTTTGCATAACTCAGTTACTTTTTTGAAGAAGTAACTATATAATTAATTGCCCAACACTGGTCATTATATACTGTATTTTGCAGAGAGAGAGTACCAGGACTCTCTCCCAGACCACAGACTCATAGTCATAATACAAGTCAGAGCTTTATTTAAAAAGAAAGAAAGAAAGAAAGAAAGCTGTGTTTTCAAAATTGGAGCTCAAGATATTTTTACTTCCAATAGGGACTAAGTTAAGTTATATAGGAAAAAACTCAAATCATTTTGTGTCCTTGATATTTTACACCCCTGAATGCTAACCACTGCTCTGCTATTGATGTTTCCTACTATAACACAAGCAATCTCTGTTTGTTTGTTTATCCACCAACTCCTCCTACACAACCGTGAGCTGAGAAATCAAAAGTCAAGGCACGCGTGTACATCTTGAGCCCCTACAGGTTCTTATATATATTAGATATGATGTCAGCATATTCTCTAGCAACCACCTAACAACAGGCTAATATGACCCATTTTTAGGTTTTGTGTACTTATGACACTTTATAAAAGCATCTTGATGTTTACAGTATCATTATTACAGAATTTGACACATTAGCTTATGAAGTTTACTGTATTTAGGGATTATATCAAAAGTTTAATGTCAGATAAATAACTGCATTTTTGGTGAAGTGGTTCCTCATTAAATTTAAGATGTAAATACATTTTACTGCTTATAAACTTACAATCATTCTTATATTGGTCTTCTATATATTTCTATAAACAACACCCACCACCCCTATGTTTTAACTTTTCTTTGTGTAATTAACCATATCAATGTGCCGATAGCATAAACAGACCAAACAGTAATGTAGCATAGGCATGTATTTGTACTGATGAAGGGAGAACTCCTGCGTAACCAATATGCCCCGTGTTCACTGCATCTGCCAGTTCATTGGTGTGACTTCTGTGTGTTAACATAGATATATCTTTGAGGAAATCTAACCGTTAAGATCCATTCACAAATGGTTTTGATTGTTCTATTGCTTCCAGTGAGAAAAAGAAAGCTCACATTGCTTATACGAATAACATAAAAGTGAAAAAAATTATATGTTTTTATTTATGTTGCTCACAGGGATCACAGACAGCACAGAGACCAGCCATAAACCAAAGAAGAAGCCCAACTGCTGCTGAGATTGGATGAATATCTGCTGGAAATTTTCTGAAGCAAAACGAAAACGGGACATGCAACAGGAAAATTAAGATAAAATGCGAACTGTACGGCTCGCTGTGAATATCATGAGTAGAACCCATGAAAGAAAGGTCACAGTGCTGATAATAACCTGAGAAGGATTCAGCAATAGGTCAAGATGTAAATTCTAAGTGGTTCCTGTAAACAGGCCTGTCAGCTGACTGATCTGAGCAGTGTAATCTCAGGAATGTTTACAGCTGACTGCGGCGACAACAAACCGGCCATTGTGATGTCCCTGATTATGTAAACGTTTATGAGAAGAGGAAGATTATTCTCCACTACAACCACCATTAAATTGCACTTTGTTGATGCCTTTAAAACATCTGTTTGAAGGAGCGTTTTTCTCCTGCTGAAATGTCAGTGATGGGCTGAATGCATTTTTTTAAAAGAAGGGGGGAGTGGGCCTTAGAGGCCTCCTGTCATGTGTCTCTCTGCTGCTAATTTGATGCGTACGCCAACTCCAGTGACCACGGTCACACCCGTTACACATCCCTCTCCTCTGAGATAACTGTTCTCATGATCTTGAAAATGGAGGGATTGTTTGCAGGAATGGGAAAAAGCAGCAAGCTCAATCTGCTTCCACTGAATTTCGTCAGTAAGCCAGACAGCAAGAACGTGGGTGTCTTGGATATATTGTTTTAACTCATATTATACAGATTCTTTAGGTATTGAAATCTTTCCCACACCTCCACAGTGTTGTAAATAATATAAAAGAGGCTAAATTAAATTGTTATCATCACATCTCTAACTATAAACCAAGGTAAAATTACATTCTCTATCCTATTGTTGACTCCAAGGTTGGACGTAAGCTGCCGGTGAGGAAATAAAAACAACAGACAAACGTGCCCATCATATCATCAAGAATAAGACACGAAGCTTCATATGAACACTTTTATTAAAGGGATCACAGGTAGAAAAAGCCATCAGCAGTGCTGGAGACCAGCTACTGCCGACAACCAATCACAGCCTCGCTGAGACACGTGAGATCTCCACCTGGCAAGAAATGTAAAAGCCAGAGCATTTACTCCAAAACCATAATTAAAAAGATTATGCATATTATGGGACCATGTTGCTTCGCACACAGCAAAATTAAACACACCTCTGAATACCAGTGCTGCCTGTTTGTACTCTGGCACAAACAGCAAGAGTAAAACTGAATCCATGAATCAGAGAGAACCAGGGTGGCCATAAACTGTCATGCAGTTCAGAACATTACACAGAGTTTAGGAATATAAGCAGTGGGAAGTCAGTCTGATAGTATATTCGGTTGATAGTGTTAGAAAAACTTTAGCTCATCCACTGGAATATTGGAAATTTTGAAGGCTGTGATATCAGTGAGAAAAGAGATACTGACTCAGGCAGAATTACAGCAGCAGCACGTGGCGATCACATCTTTTAAGATGGCAAACATCATAAACCAGTATTCACTGAACTGCACACATTTAACATACACGAAATTCAGATCTGGGTAAACTTTAAAATCAACATCTGACAGACTAATGAAAGTTTCGTCAACAATCTGCCAGTCAGAGAGCAGGTACTAAAAACAACAGTTTTAAACTGAAGACAACTTCTGCATATTGAAACACAAGAAGTCATCAAAAACACCCTGTTTTCAGTGTGGCACTTCATTAATTAATGACCACACAGAACAGGCCACTTAAATTTCAGCAATACATTAGAGGCTATCTACAGGAGCCAATCACACGGTGTCAGCTGATCATATCACAGCGTGTGGTGGAGACAATAATCTGTAACTCATGCCTGACGGAAGCTGGCGTTATAAATCCTGTCACCGGGTGTGTCTGCTCAGTAACATGTGTGTTTGCTTTGACAGATGTGAAGATTGAAGTCTTAAGATTCAAACAAGAAAAAAAAAAGTCTTTATTCGTTCTGACGCATTCATACAAATATTCAATTTCCTCATTGGCTTGGCAAAGAGCTCTTTTGGCAACTGCTCATAAAACTCCGCCAAACATGACCGGGTTGTTGTTCCCCATCTGTCAGACCTATTTCCTCGATCAAACTAAAACCAATGGCAATGTCAGTGTAGGTCCATATCCTATACGTAACTGCTTCCACATACTTCAAGTGTTTTTTTTTCTCCTTTATTTATGTCATTCTACTGACATTTTGAATGATGTATACAGTGTTATTCTGACTGTACAAAATACTATGCAGCCATAGCATGAGGTGGCTGGAGGTGAGGTTATGAAACATTTGATGGGTCGACGGGAAGACGAGATATGGGCTGGGTGACACCAGAGTGAAAACTGCTGCTACAATATCATGAGGTGAAGGGGAAAACATGAAGAGTCAAGGTGAAGATGGGGCTGATGGGATGTTGGGGAGAGAAAGGGTAATGGGTTATCTGGATGAAGAAGCAGTACAAAGGGACAAAGTTGGGTGTGTGGGGGGGTACAGCAACGCCCCCCTTTGTCCCCTATCGGTCCATTTCATCCAGCAGGGGTGTGGCGTCTCCAGTGATTGACATGGGTGTGCTCTCGATCATAGGGCTGGGTGACGGTCGTGGCGTCATCCTCTGAGATTTCTTTCTGCCCTCTGCTTCCTTTTCCTTCAGCCACTGCTCGGCCATCTTGCCCCAGTCTACTGCGGTGGAGCTGCTGCTGCTTGGCCTGCAGTAACAGAGGACAGAGGGAGATGGCTTTATTGGACAGCATATGAAAGGAAACCCAACCGAACATTGGGAGGCTGTTTAGATTTAATATAATTCTTACTACAGGTTTAGCACCGCCTTGTGGCAGAAAACTGCAACATGAACATAAATTGTTGCCTGGCAGAGTGACAAACTTCAAAACAGACATTTCACTTTTAAGAGTTGGAGGTGAGGGAAAAATCTGAACTGCAGATGAAGTCTTAGCACAAATAACTAAGACTGAAGGACTGCCATTTTGTACTTACTTTGGCTGCTGTTGTGGCGTCCGTCCTCGGGATGAGGTGGATGATGACGGCGTGCCCGATGAGTGGCCGTGGTGACTGCTGTGATGGCCGTGATGGCCATGATGTGACATGTGGCTTCCATGTGGGTGGGCGTGGGCATGAGAATGTGAAGACTGAGGGGTGGAGCCTGGGTATTGCGGTGTGCCCAAAGCTTGCTGGCTCGGTGTGGTATACGAGTAGCTGGGCGTCATCATGGGTGTCGCCATAGGTTGCTGAGGTGTGGCAAACACCTGCAGGAAATGAAGTACACATCGATTGTGAAATGAGTCGAGGTAAAACCACATTCAGTCGGCTTTAATGCTGCCAAAAAACTTTTGTTCCAATTTCCTTCAGTGATGGGGACCCAAAGGTAGACAATGTCACCAAATCATTCTGATCATGTCAACAAACATGCTAATGTTTTGGTCTTGTGGCCATCATCAGAAATAGTCTGATAGATAATATTTAATGTGGCAAAAACCTTAGGAACTCAATTATTAATAATTAGACAAAGGGTCAATCTTATCTTGTAATTCAGGTTTCCAATAGTGTCCGGGACAGGTCACCATATCAGCTAATGATCCGTTTTCCGAACTGCACCATCACAAGCTGGTATTTACCATTTCCACAGAACCCAATTTATCTCTAGTGGACACCGTGCACAACTCCCAACAGTCTGTTGGGAGTAATCACAATCCCCAAAACATCCTCTTCTCTTTTAAAAACAAGAAAGCTGTCCTCACATGATAGGCAGACGAACTCCCTCCACCTCCTGTGCTGCCACCGTAGCCGTACTGGCTGGAGCCCCACTGTGCAGGTGTGGTGTTGGGGTTCTGACCCTGGCCCGTGACTGCGGCGATGGCATTGAACATCTGAGATGTCATGTTGCGTGGGAGGGCGTTGACAGCTCGTGTCAAGTCTAGTGAGAAAGGAGGGAATACAGCAGAAAACTGTAAAATTAATAGAGCCTAAATTGAAAATCTAGATTAATAAATTGGGGGAAGACTGCGGGGCTCACCTGCAATGTTAATATTGGCTGGGGTAGCGTTCAGGGAGGCAGGCGTCCTTGTTCGGCTGCTGTTACTGGGAGTGATGCCTTGAATGAAGGAGAAAATGTTTAAACAATCACCTATAATGTATTTTAGGAGCTGTGATACATTTTATAATGTATAGTTATAGCACTTTCATACCTGGCACAGGGTCCTGAAAATGGTCCTTAAACCACCGGAAAAGCCCATTCACCGTAGGAAAAATCTGTGAACGGTAGCGGAATCCATCTGGGGTAATAGTCACATACTCAATCCTATGGAGAGGATAAAAAATAAAGCATTTCACATGAAGGACAACCTTCCTGTTAATCAACCAGAAACCTTTCAATAAATAAATAAATAAATGTATATTTGTACCACATTTATACATCCGACTTCACATTTTCTTTCATGAAAGTAGGAAACAAACATTTCCACATACCGTGGTTTTGCACGTGGTTGGTAGCCCAGGATGAATTTTCCTGGTAGATCTTTGCATGCTGAAATAAAGTAAGGGATGAAGGTGGGCTTCTCCCTCTTTGTCCGCATCAGCAACTCTTCCATTTTCTGACAGATAAAGAACAAGATGAGCAAGATAAGATGTGCAAGCCAAGACAAAACAAACAAACAGCTCACGACTCAATTATAAGAACAATGTCACAAAAAAAACCCTCAATATACATACCTCCCTGTTTCCCCTGTTGCACTCCTGGAAGTACTTATGCCCCAGCATATCCCGGGCAAATGACGCCATTGGCTGAATGTACCGAGCAGTAATTTCATCCAGATCTTCAAACTCCTGCAGTGAATCAAAAAAAAAACAAACTCTGTAAGCAACACTTCAACACCCCCCCCCCCAACAACAAAACCAGCTTACCTCATTGTTGATCCACAGAGTGTGCCCTAAGCTGAAAGCATTCTCTTTGCCTTCTTCTCTCACATCAACATGCTGGTAGATGCCATCAGCCACCTATAAAACATTATATTTAGTCAGAGTGGAGCATTTGGTACCAAAGAAATCATTTAAGTCTTTGTCGCGTCTTACTGCCAGGTCTTGGACACAGCATTTTAAGCAAGAAGCATTTTATTACATTTGTTATTTTCAATCAACCAAAGTTTTAACCCTTCTGCAGTGCTCGTTTTCTTACCTTCCAGGTGACTGTGAGGTGGTTTTCTCCCTTGCTACTGGGCCTAATAATTAAGTCACCCTGATCCAGGGTCTCCATCATCTTCTCTGCCTGGTTGAAACTGATGTTGTGGAAGTTGGGGTGGGCAATCACACGCTTTATATATGCTAAAAAGCCAAAGACAAATGGTATAAGAATTAATTATGTTAAAGTCCACACTACTAAGATTTAAAAAAATGCAGTGCTGTCTGCAACTTCAACAACCAAATATGTTTTGTATACTTCATATACTCACGTGTTCGCTGTTGTTTCTTTTTGAACTCCTCCTCCAGCTTTTGGTCTTCAGACTCTGTGTCAAAGTCATAGTAGCTGTCCTTAGGGAGCTTCCATTCGTTGGCCTTGTCCATTAGATCAGAGGTGCGACACGTGAGGTCAACGCTGAATTTCTCAATGTCGATTTTCATGATTCGACAGTGAACTGTCATGCCCACCTAAAGTAGAGGGAGGGAAAATCTGTTAACACACCAACCAAGGCTGAAGGATGAAAAATGGAAAGTAGTAATAATACAGCTCTATCAGGACTGGGCAGTGTAAGTGGACAAACAGGAAAACAATTGCAGGTGAGATCAACCAAATAAAGGGGGCACAACAAAAAATGCCTCACCTTGACCCTCTCCTCAGGGTG